TTACTGAATTAGGGTTCGAACTAAAGACGTAGTGAAATTTAGTCAAGTAGGTGGAACGACTAGAGAGAGAGAGAGAGAGGAGGGGAGGATCATAATGAATAGGGGTGGCAATGGACCCGGACCCGACCCAGGATTGGACGGGTAGACCCAATCCAAGTCTAGGTATGGGTTCAAAGATTGGACCTTAGATGTCAGGTCTGGTTCCAAATTTTGGACCTAATACTATTTGGGTCAAGATCTGGGTATGGGTACGGGTTTGGGTCTAATAATATTTTTCGGGTCCCAATATACAAAATACATATAAATAATGACATTTTAATTTTTGGGTCGGGTCTGGTCGAGTCCGGGTCTCACACTATATTTTTAGGTCCAGGTCCGGGTCCAGCCCATTGCCACCCATATAATAATAATGAAATATTTTAGGTGGCTGCTTCCAATTTCTAACAAGAAGGCAACTGTAACGTAAAACATTGTAGAAGAGACAGATACATGGTGTTTTTCACACTGTTCTCTTCTGTCTGCTCATGAAATCTGAATACCTCTCTTTCTCTCTCTAGAATTAACAATGGGTTCATGCAGGGAAGTTGGTGATTCCACTAATGGACTCAGACACATATATCAGTACAATCGGGCATTTGGATGGACGAGTGGACCTCGACAAACGAGCACTACAAGAGTATTTTAATTATGAGGGAGATGATAATAATCATAAAGGTAGTTCTCCTGAAATTCACATGGAATTTGAGAGCAAAGCCATGGCTGATCTCTGTATGATGGCTGCCAAATTGGCCTATGAAAACCAGTATGTTGTGAGAAACATAGTCACCCACCACTGGAAGGTAAAAGCAAAACTCCACACTACTCCCTCTCTTGTGTGTGTGTGGATTGTCAGAAAAGGTAAAACAAGGCTGCCTCGTGACAAAAAGTAAAATCAAATCTTAAGTCTCACTGAAAATGCAGCTCCGGCGTCGGTATAACTTCAAATCAATTGTCTCAACCTTGACCATCATGAATGTGAAAAAAATCAAGGAGTTCAACCCCAAAAATGGGTGTATATAAGACAATATCTATATCATCGCCTTTCAAGGGTTCATGGACCCCCAAGATCTGTACGTCTTTTTGAGCTACAAATTTTAATATTGGTGAGGAAACAAATTCTAGATCCATCTTAGGGCTTCCCATACTATTAAATGCTTTCTGGATGAGATTTTGAGGTGAGACTTTGACCTTTTTTCATCAGGCCTAGGCCTTTTAGAAACTGTGACCTATGCATATATGGTTGGCAAACAATGTATGTTACGGTAAGCTGCAAATAGGTTGTGTCTAGACTCCAACCCTACCTGGTCCAGGTTGACCAACCTAGATCCGATCTGCTTGTTTAGGTCTGAAACATACAAGTGTGTGGATTCTGGTTCGCATTAACACCAACTTGGAGACAACCCAACCTGGATAGGTCCCAAGCCGACCCCCACACAACCTGCTAGGTCCACTTAGGCCGGAACAGACCCGGTTCAGGCTGCTAGGCCTACCCAACCGATTTGCCAGGCCGCTGGTCTACCCAACCTATTTTTAGCATGTATTTAACTGTTGATGATGTCTTTTGTTTTTTATGCAGATGCATTTTGTGGATTTCTACAACTGCTGGAATGGTATGGACTATGAAACCCATGTTGATTATATCTATTTATATATGTTCATGAATGGCCCTATAATTAATTGGATATTCATGCATGTTGGACATGATTAGAAGTAGACCTTTCCATGAGAGTGATTTGAATTGCCCATCTGGTCAGAAGGTATGAGAGAGAGAGAGAGACCCTGTTTCTGGCCATGTTCTTTTGAACTATGAACTCAGAGAGAGAGAGAGAGAGAGAGAAGAATGCTAGCAGCTTACAATTTGGCAAAACCATTGACTGCAGACTTTCAAAAGGATAAATCAACCCAAGTGTTCATTCTCTGCGACAAACCACATGACGCCAACCTGATCATGGTGAGCTTCAGGGGCACTGAGCCTTTCGACGCAGACGATTGGAGCACTGATTTCGACTACTCGTGGTACGAAATCCCAAACTTGGGCAAGGTCCATATGGGCTTCTTAGAAGCCTTAGGCTTAGGAAACAGGGTGAAGACAAGCACCTTTCAGTACCATCTTCAAGCCACAAACCTCCCACTAAATGGTGCACACCACCCTACAAATGGTAAATTAGAGGACACCCAATATCCAGTAGAGGCCAAATATGAAGGCAATGGCAGAGAGGGAAGAGAGAGTGGTTTAGATGAGAAGGAAGGGACCAAAGAGGAGGGAGACATTGATTTTTATGATGGGGACCAGCCCATAGCATACTACACAGTGAGAGAGAGGCTTAAGGAGCTTCTTACTGAGCATAACAAGGCCAAGTTTGTGGTCACAGGCCACAGTTTAGGGGGTGCCTTGGCCATACTATTCCCTGTTGTTCTTGAGTTGCATAAGCAAGAAGAATTGATGGAGAGGCTTTTGGGGATCTATACTTTTGGCCAGCCAAGAGTGGGGGATTGGCAGCTTGGTAAGTTCATGCAGGCAAGATTGGAGAGCCCTGTTACAAAGTACTTTAGGGTGGTTTATTGCAATGATCTTGTGCCTAGACTTCCCTATGATGATAAAACTTTCTTGTATAAGCACTTTGGGGTGTGCCTCTACTACAACAGCTTTTATGAAGAGAAGGTAAGGAATTTAACACTCTTTTTTTTTTAACATTAAGGAATTTAACTCTCTCTGTCGCTTTGGTGACCCTTAATGAATTGTAATGGTTTTTCTTCTCCTGTTGAAGAGTGTAGATGAGGAACCAAACAGGAACTACTTTGGGATCTGGTACTTGATACCAGAGTACCTGAATGCATGGTGGGAACTGTTTCATACCTTGACCATAGGTTACACAAGAGGTCCAGAGTATAAAGAGGGCTGGCTTTCAATTTTGCTTAGAGTTGTGGGACTGGCATTCCCAGGAATCTCAGCACATAGCCCAACAAACTATGTCAACTCCATAAGGTTGGGGAGACCTCCCATTTAAATGAGCTCTTTTTGAAGGTTATACTGGTCTGCGTCCTCTTTCCGAATCGAAGATGGTGAATCAAGGTGTGTTTCCTTTAAGTGTTTGTGTGTATAAATCCAGAGTTTTGGTTTTGGGTTCTAAAACCGACTCAAGGATATGATTGAGAACTCTTGTGAGAAAAAGTTGTTAATAAGTCTTTGATTCTTTTTCAGTTAATGGAGATTTTCTCCTCGGTTAGTGTGAGTTCTGTTGTTACTATGAAAATTTTGACTTTGATCTGCTTGTTTTCTGAACTGTCATCTCCATGGTTCTGTCTCAATTCACAGGTGAAAGGGTCCCTCTCATCCCTTCCACAGACAAGCAGTTTTGGTTCAACCGCCAATGAAACAAATATAAAAATTTATCACATAAAATTAAAGTATAAGTATTTGGTGAGTCAGTGGGGCCATGCGTCCACCCTGGTTTTTGAAGGATTTTGGACCCAAAACACGTCACTAATTGATCCATTTCTGCCTCAAACCCACGAACATGGAGCTCCAAAAATAGTGCAGGTCTGATGATTTCTTAAGAATTAAAATGAACAATCAGGAAAAAAGCACATGGACCATATAGGGCTCAATACTCATTTTCATCATTTCAAATTTATTATAACGGTGAGATGATAGGCATGCAAATTTTTGAGTAAAAAATCGGTGGACTCACTGTAATAGTTGCATTCTTGGGCAAACCTATATCCTACCCAACGTAAAATTCCCTGATACAGTACATAATTGGCAAACTGGACCATACACCAGGCGTCTATTTTGCATGGTAAACCACAAGAGGCACCCACCATCCATTTCAGATAACAGTCATCATTCAATATGTGGTTGAGCTTCAAAAGCCAATGTAGTTAATGGATGGTGGATGCCCCAACGGCCTCCCAAACACCACTACACCAGTGACGAATCAACACTACACCAATGCTATATGGTACTACATTAATAATCGGGATTGTCTATAAAGAGACCATTTACTTTCGGTACGAGGAGGTCACAATCATTTTTGTTTTTTAGATATCAAAATAAATGGTTGTAAGAATGTCATTGATTAGATACAAAAGAGGTCACAATCATTTTTTGCTTAAATTTCAAAATGGGTGGTGGTAAGAATGTCATTGATTAGAGACAAAGTTCTAAAAAAAAAATTCTCAAACTTCATGACTTACCTCAAGCCATCCAAGTTGACATCTAATAAGTGAAAATAGTTGTGACCTCCTTGTACAAAAGATAAATGGTCTCTTTGTAGGCAATCTCTTAACAATTAGCTAAAAGAGGAAAAAGTAAGATATCACATCATAAAATTGCCGGAAGAAGCATGTTGTTCTCATGTTTTATATCTTACAATATAATCAGATTCTCTTTTTGTGTCAAAAAAACATGACCTTTGTATACAGGCTTAACTTTTTCCTTTATTCGTTTCACATGCTCTTATTTCATACAGCAACACTACCAAGTGCACCACTGTGCCAAAACTGAAATACAATGGAATTCCAAAACTGAATACAATAACCATAGAAGTCTCAATTAGAAAAAAAATAAAAGGCGGGTTTGATACCTGAGTTTGAAGGCCCTATCTCACTAAAGCTCTCCTTCAAACTGAAAGGGTCTTAACACAAAGAATTGGTCAGATCAACCCCAAATTCATTAGAATGAATTCCCATATCATGCATGACCATGCTGCAATAATGAACTTTGCCATGATCACCACAATGGCTTTTTTCTTTTCCTTATTGTAATGATTCATCTTTTTTTCAGCTAAAATGTTATATAAGCTCGAGATTTTAGACCGTATAAGCCCCTTGAATTGTGCTTATATCCAAATTTTTCAGCCGGATCACGGATTCAACATGCCCCTTGAGAATATGCGACTCTCTCAACCTGCAATCAGAAAAATGAGCTCCTCATTCATAGAACTTGTGTCCGCCTTTAGAAAACAGAAAAATCAGTTTCTAATGCATAGAACATGTATCCACCTTGAGATAACAGAAAAGTCACTTACTTCCAATCCAAGAGAAATACACATGAATGAAATTTCCCAAAAGTAACCCTGATTGCCATTACTTATGACACAACAATAGGAGCTTTCTTCTAAGAAGAGAACAAGCCTCACATAACCTGGGCTTGCCTTTTTTTTTTTTGCAGGACATTTTGAAGATCCTTCTGTAGGAAAATAACTAAGAAACCCGATCCTTTGGCAGTAATGATAGTTACCTTGAATTCTGTGAATATGATGGCCACTTTACAAGAGAACCCCAAAAAGGGTGTCACAGTTTTCAACCATGTATATGTGGGATTCACTTTAATTTTAAGATTTCTGGTGTACTCATTTTCCTCTTTTGATATCAAAAATGGATTTATACCAAAACTTCAAAGAAAACTGAACTGCAGTATTATCACTTTTAGAAGTTTTGAGTAACACCACATCTTTGTCCAACACCTTGTAAACATATTGAAAATCACAAGAAAGAGTGGTGCTGGTATTTATGCATGTAGTAAAATCGGGACATACTAGGCCTTAACATAAAAATGTCAATGATATTTTCTAATTTGATGGAAATACAAGTTCAGAGACCAACTATTTAAGAAAAGTGGCCCAAGGAAGAAACCTCTTACCTTGCGATTTCAGCACGCCGCCTCGTCTGCTCAGCAATCATTGAAGAGTGCCTACCATTATTCTCTATATCAGTGGGAAGTAGCCCCTCTAGACTTCTTTGAGCAATAGCCCATTTAGCTTCCCTGTCCTCCTTCCCGTAATCTTTCTTGTAGGTGAATGCAGTCTAGAAACATAAAAAAAATCAGGAACACAACAAAATATAAACATAAATTATCATGAATCTAGGAATTATATATGATACAGACAAACTATCACATAAGGAACAGTACAATGTAAGAGCATATTATACAATAGCATTTCACTGACCTTTCTCTCAAACAAGAGATTCCAAGCTTCTCCACTTAGGCTATACCGAACAACGAATTTGATTATATCTAGAGGGACATAGAAGACTACACTATAAATCCATATCACCCCAGCCCAGCCCCATCCAATGCTGCTGAATGAAGCAAAGCTGATATTTGCATAGACTGCTATCAAGGTAGCAACCTGGGATCAAATAAAGGATCTGGGTCAAATTGAGGAACAGTGGGATAGGAATATGCATTTTAGTAACAGCCAAAGGGATGGGGGTTGCATTGTCATGTCAGTATAAATCCTCAAATAGTATACTGTGGAAGTTAGCCAATAACTGAAATCATAGATATAATAATCTCTCTCTCTCTCTCTCTCTCTCTCTCTCTCTCTCTGCTTTCAGTGCTCACCAGTTGAGCCACAATGAATGCGCAAATCAAGAGAGTTCCTGGACGCTCCAGAAATGACCAACCTCGGCTACGGGTAACAAAGATGAGAGCCTGGCTGACTATGCTCACTTGCAAGTAAATGGCAGCTGAGATCTCCTCACTGTTGCTTAGTGACCTCACGTGAAAATGGGTCTAAGGCCAATATGGGAGAGAACTAAATTAACAAATATGAAATATCAAAGAAAGACGCCATGTATCATGAAACCGTCTTGAGATTTAATGAAGTGACTCAATAATCACATAGAGAGAGCGGGAGTACCTCAAAGAATGTAGTGTCTGCAATAACCCAGTAAAATAGCACAGTACACAGTGCAAGATAAGTCCCTATCACAATGCCTGTTGCAAAGATCTCGTTCAATTTCCAACAGTCGGGTGTTGGTGATGGTTTGACTCGATCTTTAGAAATAGTCATGATTGTCCCTAGTGAGACAAGAAGGAATAAATGTGAAAATCGTCAAGAATGGACTCTTATGGTATCCTTTTATGTTTTACTGAAAATTTACTTTAAAAATCATTTTAGTTTACTGAACTACAATAGGAAAACACAATTTGATATAGAAATCTTACCATCATTCAGAATTGCAATGACTAGGACCATGAAAGGGGGAAAGTCATATTCCCAGATCAAAGCGAGGAGCATAAAACCAAGCTGTGACAAGAATCCTAATTAAAAATATACAAATCACCATAACCCTGAGAAAATCTACAAATATATTCCTTTGCGTAAAATTAGATGAAAGTATATTTAACTTACCACAATTCGTATGGTTATAGATACCGCATAGATCTGCAAATTTCATGGAGCACATCAATCTAAGCATGATGAAGCATGTATCAAATAAAGAGGCCATTTTGGCAAATTACACCAGAGTCCACCGGATTTTGTTAATAAGAACTGAAGCTATATCCACTGTTCATCCATACCAATGGGCGGTTGGAAATTAAATGCACCCAGGTCAATGTCCCATACGACCCTTCTCTAGTTAACCTCCAACCATCAGTCAGTGGGAATGGACAGTCGATGTAGTCTTTGAGTAGTCGTGTAACACTCCAGCAGAATATGGTATACTCTTGTTTTTGCATAAGCAAGAAGTTAATTGATACTCACCGTGTAATTTTTCATCCTCTGAAATATTGCTCGGCTAGTTAAAACAGCACTTACAATGACACTTAAACCAGGCTCTGTCAAGACAATATCAGCAGCGCCCCTAGCAGCGTCAGTAGCATCATCTACCGCTATTCCAATATCTGCCTTCTTCAAAGCAGGGGCATCATTAACACCATCCCCAGTCATCCCACAAATGTGTTTCTTCTCTTGAAGAATTTTTACAATCTCATATTTGTGCTCTGATAAACATGGCAGTCACAACTAGCTAAATCAATCCATCCATCAATGAAATGAAATAAGAAAGATGGTCAAAACAATGAAATTTGGAGCACTTGACAGGGAATTAGGTAATGTAAAATTCTAGGAGTCTCTAAATTGAAACTGAGCAATGGGAAAGCATGTCATAGTCCAATGAACAGTTGGAGATTAACTGTGGCAGGGCCAGCGTTGACAATTACCTAGGCACAATTTATTTCGAAATATCAGATAGGTTGAAATAAAGTGGAATGCAGAATATCATACTCCACAGTCCATATGATTGTGGTATACTTCTCCTTGCTCCTATGGTTTTATTAGCATCAAGATAATGTGGACAACCAATAGACAGCTGCATTTAGGCGATGCAAAGTCTCAAGGTTTAATTGCAATTAAATCCAGAATTCAGTTTCTAATCTTAATCGGCATACATGCTTAACTTAATCAAAAAGTGCTTGGAACTTCAAAGATCCAGTACACTATCACAACCCCAAAAAAATTGGATGATTTCATTTCCAATTCTACACTTCTGAACATTGCTATCAAAACTCAGCTTTCGCCACAACTATCAAAGCGAGGCTAAATTTTAAAAAAAAAATTTAGAAAAGGGTATGTTCTAATACCAGGGAATACTCCAGCAAACCCATCAGCTTTCTCAATGAGCTCATCCATTGGGAGGATTTCATGTTCATCTTTTTCACGTCCCAGCAAAGAAGAAGCAGGGTACATGTTTGTACCCATGCCAAGACGTCGCCCAGTCTCTTTCGCGATAGCCAACTGATCACCTACAGAAGAGCAAGATGTTTTTGAACATTCATTCCAAGCACTCAAAAGTGCCATAAATTAATTCCTAATAGCAGATATATTAAAATCTCACAAATCCTGTAAAAAGGAGATCTTTGGAATATTATATGCAAATATCATAATCGTGAACCCAAATATACTCACTTTACTTGGAACCCAAGAATTTGGTTCCCAAGCTTGATGGAGGCTACATATTAAAGGGTATTAATGTAATATACAAAAGATCAGCCTCTCTCCCCCTTCCCTCCCTTGCAATTACAGATTATGATGACCACATGTTGTCATTCTTACGAGTACAGGAATTCAATGATCACTGGTAGGAATCTAAATCTGTTACTAGAGAAATCACTTTAGCTATGGGACTCAAAAACATTCTTAGATCCTATATCTACAAAAATTGGTAAAAGAACTCAATCAATCCTTTTCATTAGATCATAGCAAGTTAATCACATTTAGTCATGTGCAGGATAAGGGCCCTTTCTTTAATCAGTTTAGTTAAGAAGATGATAACCCAGTTTTGCCCATTAAATAGTGATGTACAACTGCACAAATTAGATATTGGGTTGTTGGGAAAGAATAAATCCATATATACCTACTGCAGCACCAATGAATCAGAAAACCTGCTATGGCTCAAAATGAATATCAATTATACCTGTAATCATCTTCACACAGACACCAAGGCTCAGTGCTCTGCGTATGGTCTCAGCACTATCGTGTCTAGGTGGATCAAATAATGGTAATAACCCACAAAACATCCAGGGACCACCAGGACTATCTTTTGATTTCTCTGGTACCATCTGCAGTTTACACATCAGGAATTCCACGACGTAAATTATTATCCTTGGCAAGCCAAAACCAGGTAGTCGATCTCAATAAAAAGAGAGAACTAAGTTTAAAACGGTATTTCATTATCTCAATAAAATAGAGAATAAATTTGAAAGTGTATTTCATTAGTATGCAGCAGGTATTTATTGTATATAATTATCTAGTAAATAATAGAGAAATTTTACAATCATCCGATAATTTAAATCTCATTACCAACTGATTAAAAACCTTTTATGCTTTCACTTATTTGGCAATTAAATATGATGCAATTATGCCCATTGCACTACCAATTTTTAGAATAAAAACTATGCCCATCCATACCTGATAAGCCACCCCAAGGGATCGCAACCCCCGCTCAGCGAATTTGTCAATAATTGCATGCACCTTTCCAGCAATCTCATGTTTTTCTTGGCAGAGACTTAGAATCTGCAACAGTACAGTTATTAGAATCTGCCATAATAATCAGTAATTAATAGATTACAAAAGAAATCCCAAACTTATCAAACACAGAATAAAAATGGAGCAATTTCAAAAGAAACAGAGATAACTAAGACACCAAAGTTCAAGCCCAAAAGTTATCAACTGCTTAAAATCTTATCTAAATATCAGCAACAGCAGATCAAAAACTTGGAATTTGAAAAGGAAAGTAAAACAACTCAAGATATGGATGCATCTAGGATTATGTATTAATAAATTACAGAACGCTTGTTAAGGGATAATACTTGCCAGAAAAATGGATTGTCATGCATATGATTCAAGAGATTTGAAGATTTAACTGCCCATTCTGCACTGACCTGCTCTGGTGCTCCTTTACTGGCTCGATACCAGCAGCCATCAGAATCAATGTATGTAATTGCAGTTCGTTTATCAACAGGATTGAAAGGAAGGAAATGAACTTCTGTAAGGTTTGCACGTGCCTGCAACAAAGTAACGCATGCCCACTTCTCCATAAGAACACCTAAAATTCTCATTTTCTCTTTTAGGAATATGTACTACAATCAATGTACTGGGAAAAAACAAGCCAATTGGGTTAACTATGGATTGTCTTCAGTGGACAGTGATGATCAAATGGAATATGGTTTTCTCATAGACCATTGAATTAGAGAATACTGTTCCTTTTCGGAATAATTAACAGAGCAAATGCTCATATATGAAGTATATCATCCTTTGGGTGGATGGTTTTTTTTACCTCTTTTGGATCAGCAAGCATGTTGATAATGGCTGTATCAATTGCATCTTGGTTCTCAAGTCTTGCTGCCCTTGCAGCCAGTAAGATCACAGTCTCTTTATCCATGCCTTTGTGAAAAACCTGAAACAGGGGTTCTTTGATGTTACATTGTAAAGGCTAATCAAATGGACAAGTGGAAAATCTAAGTATTTAGAATGGACTTTGTCATCATTCATGTGTTGCCTTTATAGAAGAGTGATGTATGAATGTTTGGTTCTCTAGAAGAACAATGTGAAATATGCGTAACCTAGTTCTATGATATTCTGAGAAGAAAAGGAAAAGGAAACAAGATTACCTACAATTACCTGGCTCTTGCCATTTTGGCCAAAAGGAGATTTGGTATTTGGAGAAACAATAGCCGCAATTACTTTCTCACAATCCAATCCATAATTGGCCCTCTCCTAGGATGGAACTGTCGTGTAACCTTTTCTTTATGATGGATAGTCAAGACTCGAGTATCTAAGTTCAACTGCCTTCAGCCATGATCTAAGCAATAAATCCAATTTTCGAACTTCGACAGATTCATCAATCTCTATTAGACTACGGAATGTTGAAAGTTGTGTAAAATATCTCCCCAGATGGACAGTTGACTCATAGTTGCTAGGATCTTCCAACCTAGGTGGTGGTCCCACTCCAGAATCATATATTCTTGTGTTTCAATAAAGATATCTTCAAAGAATCTCGATTTTTAAATTCCGGATATTGACCCCCCCTTGTTAGGGATCTCAATCCTACCTTAAAGACCAAGATAACGATCAAAATGATGATTTTCGAGCCAATTAGCAATTCTACTAAACTTTTAATATAGTTACAATGTTTTTTGGCTATAAATAAAGAGATCCCTACTTTAAAGAGTATGCATAGTCCTAGACTTTCCTACTCAAACAACTGATTGAGAATTTAGGGTGAAGGGAAAAGACCTCCACATGGTTTTTATTGATCTAGACAAAGTTTATGATAGAGTATCTCAAGATTTAATTTGGTGGGTGTTGGAAAGAAAGGAGTTTCTTAATACTATATCGACTTGGCGAGATATATATACGAGGGAGAGCTAACTAGTGTGTAAACAACTAGTGGAGAGACGTGTGAGTTTTCAGTGACAATAAGTCTACATCAAGGGTCAGCGTTGGGCCCATACCTCTGTCTTAGTTATAGACAACTTAACTAGGCACCTACAAGATGAGGAATTGTAGTGTATGTTATTCGTGAACGACATAGTTTTGATCGATTAAACCCAAAGCAGCAACGATACAAAGTTTGAACGTTAGAGGGGATGCTCTAGAATCTAAAGGTCTTAAATTAGCTAGACTAAGACAAAGAATATGAAATGCAAGTTTAGTAATAATAGGCGTACAGACAAAAAAGTAGTTAAAATCAGCGACCAAGAATTACCAAAAAGACCACACTTTGGTATCTTAGGTCGATAATATGGAAAAATGGAGAGACAAGGAAGATATTATACGTAGAATTAGAGCTGGATGGACGAAGTGGAGATATACAATCGAAAATTTACGTGATCGCAGCATACTAATGAAGCTGAAGGGGAAGTTGACAATTGTTAGACCAGCTTTGCTTTATGAGCAGAATGTTGGGCGATCAAGAAACAACATACCTATAGGATGAGTGTAACTGAAATGAAGATGTTGAGATGGATGAGTAGCAAGATAAAAAGGGATCGAATTCAAGATGAAAACATTCAGAAGAACATAGGTGTGGTTCCAATAGGCGAAAATATGGAAGAAAGTAGACTTAGCTGGGTTGGTCATGTGCAGCATAGATCCAATACAACACCTATTAGGAGGTGCAAGTTGGTTCAAGAAGAAGGCTCAAAAAGGATAAGGCATAAACCCAAAAGGATATGGTTAGAAGTAACGAGAAAAGATATGGAGACTTATAGCTTCACTGAGGGTACAGCCCTTGATAGAGCAAAATGGCAGACCAAGACTCGTGTAGCCGACCCCAAACAATTGGAAAAAGACTCTGATGATTATGATGATTTATAGTCCTAGACTATATATGAACAAGATCCCCAATAGGTTGCGATCAAGATCCCAAAAGCTCAGGATTCAGATCCCTAGCATTCAAGGATATTGATCTTTAATATATGTGTTGTATGGACAATGCTCCTAATCATAGGGATCTTCCAGCCTTTTACGATCCCCCCACTCCTCCCGCTCCTGCTCCTCTCCAATCCCAACAAATATGAGTTAAATTAGGCTGAAGTCTAGGTTATTTGTGTTTAATTATTAAAAGCCAACATTTTTTGCAGCAATGCAAAAAGATTTACCTCAATGAGATTTTTGTCCACAGTGAGGCGATTCAATGTAAGCGTGCCGGTTTTATCACTACAAAGAACATCCATGCCAGCCATTTCTTCAATTGCAGTCATCCTCTTGGTGATTGCACCCTATAACACAAGGAAGCTGGATCAACAAGGAGTATAAACTTCTAAACATGATACCTTCTGATGATTAGATCCCACAAATAGCAAAATGAAAACATATAATATTATCCAATGAACTGTTTTACAGCCCCTTGGGGTCATCCCATTCCAGGAAATAGCCATTGATGAGTGGGTGGGACCCACAATAACAGGAAAGGACTGGAATGGTGAGCCACTCTCTCTCTCTCTTCATCATGATCCAACATTTTATTGGATGGTGATGACCTAATGGAATAGGGTTTACCATATTCCATTGGATTATAGTACATGTTCCCACGGAACAATTCCAATATAAGACTCAAAATTACCTGTTGAGAAAGACGGTGAGAACCAATTGCAAGTGTTACAGATAATACAGTGGGCATGGCAATCGGTATTCCTCCAATCAAGAGAACAAGAAGGTTATCGATTCCACTTCTATAAGATCGATGTTGGATGGGATACATGACAATAATTTCAAGAATCATTCCAACAGCAATAGAACAGATACAGAAGTTCCCAATGGCTGTAAGAACCTGCAGGATGAAGATGCATGTCATGCTTATGTCAAGAAATTATTGCATTGGGTCACAGGAAAGTGTGAAGGCCAGGAATTCTATATTGAGTTCACAAGAGAAAGCAAAGTCTATACGACCAATCAATGATATAATTACTTAGGTTTATGCCTAGTTATACAAGAGTGTTATATGAAATGACCGATCAATAAGATCAGTGTTACACAAAAAACTGTGCTATTAAAATCATAAACTGCCATTTTAATTAGTTAATATGTATTGGTGAAAAGAAAAACGAAAAGAAAGAAACGTAGGCAAGGAAATCATTCAGAAATTGTTGTCCACATTTCTGCTGGTACAAAAGAGAGAGAGAGAGAGAGAAAGAGAAATGGGTTTTCCCTATATCACAAATGAAGGATCCTTCAGTTAGCACTCAAAAGCATCTCCATCAATAGATTGGGATCAAAGGTTTGTGTTGGTTGACCTTAAAAATCTGACTACTTTCACTCATTTTTGTATATCAGACTTGGTCACTTTGTAGTTGTAAAGGTACTTCATGGGCAATAACACAAAAAAGATAGAACTTCAGAAACAAACTAGATTCTGTCTGTAAAAGTTGGCAGTGCATAGATATGACTGCCACTATATATAAAAGCCAGAAAAAGGTTCATCTAATTACCTTCTGAAAGTGCCCAATGACTTCAGTAGAATCAACCAAATGTGCAGCTTTCCCAAAAAAAGAATGAACGCCCGTAGCAATTACAACAGCTTCTTTCTCTCCATGCTTACATGTTGAACCAGAATAGACTTCATCCCCCGTTCTCTTTGTGACTGGAAGTGATTCTCCAGTTAGGGCTGACTGCAATCGAAGAAGCAAAGGTGGAATTAGGTAAACTGACATATAGTTACACCTCCAAAATTTTGTGTCTCAAAAGTGATAATGCATCATTGTGAACCTCGAGATAATTCAATAACATGGTTAGTCATAGTTCAAAGAGTTCACTATTGCTTTAATAATGTTAGCAGATAGGAGGAAAGGCACCATACAATCAATCTATCTAAATAGACACTTGTAATTTCGAAAAGGCCATGGGACTACAAAAGAAGCAACTGAATCACCTGGTCAATTTTCAAAGGATCTCCTTCAAGCAGACGAGCATCTGCTGGGATGATATCACCAAGCTTGATGCTAATCATATCACCCGGTACTAGAATAGAAGCATCTTTTTCTTGCCATTGTCCATCTCTAAGGACCTGAATAATAAGTTAAAATAGGTCTTAAATATCAAGAATTGGTTATTCAATTGAAAGATCATGGATGAAGAAAAGGTTAGCATATTTTTTAAATCAGCAAAGGAACACCAAAAGGGAAAAAAAGAGATATCAAAAGAAAAAGAACAAGAAGAAGAAGTCAGAGGGCCCAGGGCTTATTGATAAAAAAATCCTATTCAAGGGCAAACACACTAGATATTATCACATAAAGTGCAAACGTTGCAAGTAGCAACTAATGGTCACTCGGTATCATATAGCTAGTATTTTGGTGCCACTTAATGAAATCGAGAGTTTCAAGGCCGGAACTTGGTGGTGCAAACTTTGACTTGGGTCACACCTATATTAACATGCTAATAAATATGTATTGTTTATGGAAAAAATAAACAAAAGAATAGACTTCCAAAGTGGCTGTTTAGGTCATAAACTGGAAAATTACAAATCCTAAACATCTAAAACAGTTAACTGCCAAAAATAAGGGTCGCAGTATGAGAAAATAACAACCATTTGGCCATATTTTATGTTTTAAAACTATCTCATCATTGTGGAAGTCTTCGAGACATTCTTGTCACTTGCTGAAACCTTAGGGTTGACGTTGGAATGACTGAAAGTCCATCGTACCCAATATCATCATTTGTTCTATTGTAATGGTATTCAACATAATCATAGAATGCGAAAAATTTAAACCTTAGTTTTTGGAGCTAGACGGGCCATTAGTGCTGCCGCAGCATTACCAGCATTATTCTCCTCCACGAAACTGATTGTAGAATTTAAGATCAACAAACATATGATTCCCACAAAGTCTTGCCAATCAGGATCTTTGCCCTGAAACAGTGAGTGGACTTGTAATTGACCAAACAAATAATAAACACTAATGGCATAAAGAAACATGCACACATGCATAAACACCTATACATGAATGCACAGAGGCAAACATGCAGTATACACATGCACAGATTTTGAACTCCTGTGAGATTTCCATAAGTAGGGAATGATCCTCATGAAGCTTGGAATAGAGTTACTGAAAAACTTAGCCATTGCAAATGAGTATTTCAAATAGGCATATGTAAGGCCACTGAAAGAAAAACCAGAAGACCTCTTGCCAACAAGGAAATAAATCAAGCCAACTGACCACAAGAACACACAAAGTTCAGGGGAGAAAACTTACTCCACCGTTTGCAAGGACAATTGCCATCACTGCAGCTGCTTCCATAACCCAAGACAAGGGATTCCACATGAAACTAAGAAACTTCAAAAACTTGTTCTCCTGTAACCGTAGGACATTTGGAGCATTGTGAGCAGCCAACCCAAGAAGCAGATGCAGCAATTTCATGTGTAAACTTCAGATAGACTATAATATCACAAAAGACCCCTAGAATCATGAAACCATAATCACATGTGATCAGATTGATTATATTGGGAATCAAGGTGCTTTAAGATTAATATTACCGGCTTCTCCTCAAGCTTGTTGGGCCCAAAGATCGTCAAGCGAATTTCACCATCTGCCGATGTAAGTCCTGCTCTTGATGTTTTCAGTTCCGCGAAGACTTCGTCCAAAGGTAATCGTTCCTGTGAATCATGAATTAACTCTTCACTACATGCTTTTATAATAGGTACATGTTTTGACCATTAATTTTTTTAGTTGTACATGCTTTGGGACTATTACAGCAGAAAAGTATGCTACAATTGGTAGAAGTGCCCTTCACAATTCATGTTATTTTATTTTCCTTACCAAATCAATGGCATCTCGGTTGAAGTTCTCAGGGTCGAGCAGGGGTTTGTTAAGATCTTCTTCCATGGCCATAACTTCCCAAAATAGGAAGCTAAATCAGTTTAAAAGTCAAATACTTGTTGTTAAAATCATCCACGTGAACCCATAAGACCTACATTGCAGTCCAAGGCATCATCATTCAGGTCTTAACATTAACAAAAAAGAAGCGAAATACGTAACGGTGTTAAACTATAAGGTACATTAGGTTTGTCAGAAAACTATTGTGTAAACACAGTTTTCTCAGAAAATAGACCTTTTCCACAATTGGTTCGTGGGAAAAGGTAGGCGCCCATTTCTCTGAGAAATTAATTTCTCAAAGATAAGGCCATTTTATGAGAAAACAGCTTCTGACCCTAGACAGCCTGAAGCCACTTGCTTGGAATTTTTTCTGGTGTAACTTAAGAGAAGAAGTCACATACACAATTTTACTTGTATCCACCTGACTTTGCTATTTAATGGCTTCAGTCTAACTTTACATAGCAATAGGACATTGAAAAACAAACTGTTAAAAGAAGTAAGAAAGAGCACTAGATTTAAAATGAAGTTGATAGTTGGTAATATATTTCTTTTACTTTTTATTTCTTTTAGTTGGTTGGGTTGGCATTTTAGCAGTTAGGCAAACATAGGACTTAAACCTAGAGCCTACGGATTGAGATGAAGAGCTCACAAAGAGCTACAAATCTCTAAGAATTCAAACCCCAGAAATTGGTGATCTTGAATTCTCGGGCATTAAAAGCATACTGATTGAAATGCAAGGCTTTTCACTAAAGGACATATCTTTTGCCTATAAATTCATAAAAGTCTTGCCCAATACTTAACGCGAAATTATAACTTCTACTCAATGCCAAAGATGATTCTTCTCCCAACTTTAGCGAACCCCAGTTCCTCTAAGTAACAACCGATGCACAAACTTTCATCATCATCATCCAAGCATTATCCCAATTATTTGGGGCATATAACATAGGTTCAAGATTCATGATATTTTACGCTGACTGCCTACTTAAAGCAACCTACCTCCTTTGAGGTAATTTTCATATAAAGATTTGAATTTGCAAACTTAATCTGGACCAGTTACTCTAATGTAGCACCTCTCTAACCAAAAAGGATCCTTGACAGTTAAAAACCAGATTAAAACGTAAAGGAGCAAAATATGACAGCTTTAGCCAACATAATAATCCACGATTCAAACCTAAATCTTACACAATAAAACCCTAAAAAGGGAGAGCCGTTTTAACTCTAAATTCAATCAGATAATAAGCTGGGCAGAATCAACTTCTATCAGTGAATCTCTGACAGTTGAAAACCGAAATTCACTTTCAACATTTGTGAAACACTCCAAAACCCACCATCCAACATCACAAACCAATCCAATCAAACCAAAACTAACTCCATTTTAGCCCTAATTCCAATAAAACCGAAGTGCAAAAAGAGCATTTCATCTACCTCTGAAAGCTCCAAGAGTGAGGAAGGGCCTTTTCAGGTATCTTATCCCACCATTTGGGCTTTATACGTACAGTTACAGAGGGAAGTGCCATTACAAAGGGGAAAACTTGACTGTTTGTTGAGAATCCCAATTCCATGGATGAGCTAACACGAGAAGGAGGAGAGTGTGTAGAGAGAGAGAGTGGACTCAATAATCCAACGATCTTTCAAACTTAACCTTCTCACCAAACCGTCTCCCTCCAGTTTTTAGAGAGAGAAAGAGTGAGGGGGGGTTGGTAATGTCTAACGGTAACAACGCGGTGGACCTCCGCGGGCCAGGACTCCAAACGTTAGCAACTGGTGGGCCTGGGCCGGTCCAGGAGGTGCAACATCAGGGCGGGGCAGGGACAGTCCAAAACTAAATAAAAAAATTAAAGAAAAATAAGGTTGGGCCAGCCTGGCTATCCTTAGCCCGCCACGGTTGTGGCCCACGCTGTATTTATTGTAGTCCGGGCCGACCTTCCCGGCCCATTGCCATGTGCCAATCGTAGTCTATTTTAAAATAACAGAATCGCCCCTTTCCAGATTTTCAAGATCCAAAATTGGCATTAAGAAACAAAAATTGAACTTTTCGATTTCTCGATATATGAAAATTATTTTCAGATTTGCAAAACCCCTTCTAAAACTTTTAGATGTTAACATCCGAAAAAGTTCATTTTAGAGTCCCCAGCATTTTCGAAATTTGAAAATCCAAAATTTGTTTGAAAATAAAATTTTTGGGTTTTGAAAATTACTATTTTCAGAATTTTCAAAATCTAAAATTGTAATATTCATATTTTCAAAATCCAAAAATTGCAAAATCCAATAACTACAATTTTCATATTTTCAAAAATCCAATAATTGTAAAAAGAATGCAATTTTTGGATTTTTAAAATCTGAAATTTACTTTAAGTTGAAATTTTCGGATTTTCAGAATTGGAAAATTGCATTGAAGGACTGAGCCCCGTTTGTTTTTGTTGTTTTTTTTTTATATATACTGTAGATCTTGAAAATCCAAAATAAAAAAAATTCCAAAAAAAATTTGGGGCTCGTAAGAACGGGAATACATATAATATATAAAAATAATAATAAGTGAAATGTTTTGGTGATATTATAATAATTGTAAAAATTAATGGGTATATGCATAATTTTTTCTATTTTTTTAATTGCATAGAAAATGCAATTAGGGAATCTTTTTATTGAGGTTAGTGTTTGAGTAGTAGACAAGGTTACATCCCAAAATTTTGGGTCCCAAAATCACTCCTAGATTGGGTTTTATCCGTAAATGGACAATGTACTCTCGCAGGCACAAATAAATTGTAGGCTTCAAATAAATATCGAACCGCCGAATTCTGATATGTGTCACGGATCTGGATGTGAACGAGACCCAACCGGTTTGGGAATAGTATAGGTCCTGCCAGGTTTCCCCATAATACCCCCTTTCCATTTTTTTTTCTCTATTCTTTAGGTTTATCTAATGTTTTTTGTGGTCCCTGCTAAATTCTCACTTCATAAATCTCTATTTTAATTTTTACTAAATTTATTTTATTTTTAAATTTTTCTTTTAGATCACCAATCCAAATGATTCAAGAGCGATCCGTCGATCCAACCGATCTGAAACGAGATTGAAGGTGGATGATCCGTCCCACCAATCCGTTTTTTAAATATTGGTTAATATTATTTTCTTCAAATATTTAAAATGTCTTCAAATGTTTAAATTTTCGGTGGATTTTTTTTTTTTGCTTATTTTTTCCCCTAAAGTACGTCTTAGTTTGGTACTCTTAGTTATGAACTGCGTTGAAGTTGGTTTTTGCAAAAAATATTATTTGGTATGGAGAATATCAAACACATTCATGCCTTCAATAAAAAAAATTTAGTACTAAAAAAAATTATTCTTTTAAATATTATGTTCAATGCTCAATTGCTTTCTGATATAAAAAATAAAAATGCTAGTGTTTGTTGCGCTTAATACCGAATATAAGAGAAAAACAATACTAGTCACAAATTTAACAATATAAGAAAATTAAATTGTTTGGTACTCTTTATACCAAGGCATGAATATGTTCCATATTCTCACTACCAAACAACATTTTTTGCAAAAAACCAATTTCACAATAGTTTGAAATTGAGAGTAGAAAGTTTATGAGGTGTCAATAGAATACTATACAAGTAAGGTGCACCATATAAACTTTCTAGTAAAGATTGTTTTAATCCTAAAAACCATCTAATTCATTATTTCGACCTCCGAATCGACCTCCGAATGTATAGATATAAAGCAAAAAAGGGATCTAAGTCATGAAAATTATGCAAATTTGTAATATCTTATCTTGTATTACCTAGACAGTCCAATTTCAAGTATTTATAGATATGCTCAATTTGTGTTTTTGAATTTTTAAATTTCATAATTAAGGACAAAAGTAAATTTTCAGGCTATATCAGAAGTATCTAACACTAAAATATATCTTTCGACACGGTTTGGAGGTACGCATTACTTTCATTGGTTAATATTGACCTTTTACGTAAACTAGAGCCATTTTTTAAAGGGTGGGGCTTGTATAAAGGTCAACCTTAAACAATCAAAGTTCCGTAAACCTCTAAACCACACTGAAATATATAATATACAATTAAAAATCTATTTGCACATCTAATTATGATATCTAAAGCTTTAAAGTTGGAGCAGATTGAGTAGATTTGTAAAAATTTATTTTTATTTTTTTAAAATGAATAGTGTAATGTCTTGCTATATGCACCATTGTTTTCATGACTTTAAATTTTTTTTTTTTAATATCTATGCATCTCAAGGTCAAGGCAAACAATCGAGTTTATAAGCGTAGGACAGCCTTTTTGGGCAGAATTTTAAAACTCACCTTACTTCAATAATATAAGATTGAGACCTTATAAACTTTCTAGTCTTTTAAATTTCTCAAAAAAAGATAATTATATTATTTCCCCCCAAAACAAATAGGAAGTAGAGGGGTAGCCATCTCTCTCTCTCTCTAAAAATAGTGGGAGAGTGAAAGCACAAATTCAATGTATCCTAAACGCGCCTATTCTCTCTCTCTTATTGACTAATTAGAACGTGTTTGTTTGGAAGAAGTTCTGGCTTTGGAAGCCGAAATCTCCTGGACCCATGGGTCTACAAAGGAGCAGCTCTTTAACCACTGCTGGGTTCATCGGCACCTGACACACTGCTGGGTTCAATTGGGTCGGGCTAGTTCAACTTCAAACCCGAGCAATCAACTCCTTAATCACTGGTTTCAAAACTGGGGGTGTTAACAGGCTTACCCCGCCTGCATACTAGGCCGGGGTGGGTGGACTGGGCTCAATTCAGACCAGGCTTGAGTAGGCCCGATTTATTTTCAAGCCCGGTCTAGCACAACCTGGCATGGGCCTGTAGCCCAAAATGTTTCATGAACTTTTAGAAAGAATTTTTTCCTGCATTTATAAAAGGCCAGGCCTAATCGAGCCCAGCCCCATTTTTTGTGTTCGGCCAGGCCTCGTATGCATGATTTCAGGACAGGTCTGAAATTTAGTTTCTTGGGCCCAGGCCGGCAGGGCCTACGTGATATGATCTCGGGCTTAACCAGGCCAGGCCCATTAACTACCCGAATTAATAGGGAAAGTTTTCTTTGCAAGTACCCTCTATCTCTCACACACACACAGTCAAAAGGATACTAATCTTGTCTCGGCTTATGTTCCTTCTTGATACTTAGGAGATCATTGGAGAAACCATCAATTGTTCTTTTCTTTTTTTTCTTGCATTTTATACTTTCATATTTGACTTATTAATGGGTTTTATAATGACTAAAATGTTTGCATTGTCCTACTATACTTGGCTTTTATTCGCATTGTTCTTTCTAACACATTCACATAATTTTTTTTTATTTAAGCTATTTCTTTTTCATTTAGGTAAGGGTGGCAATGGACTCAGACACAACCCAGGACCCAAGGGGTAGACCTTATCGAAATCCAGGTATGGGTCCAAAAATTGAACCTGACAGCTTGGGTCCGGGTTCAAATATTGGACCTGAACACTATTTGGGTCCAGATAAGAGTCCGGGTCCCGGTTCGGTAATATTTTTCAGGTCTAAATATATAAAATATATTTAAATATAGTTAAATATATAAAAATTTTAATTTTTGGGTTGGGTCCGATCGGATACCGGTCCGAGTCCCACACTATATTTTCGTTCGGGTCCTATATCATTTTTTGGGTCCAAGTCTGGGCTCAGTCGGACAAGGACCAGACCTGACCCATTGCCACCCCTATTCTTTCTTAGTGTTTGGGTTTACCTCATCTTGTAAGAGATTCCTCAACCTGTTTGACAATCTTAGAACAATTTCAATTCCAATTCTCTCTTTGTCAATGTTCCTCCTAAGCATTCAAGGAATCTTGGGCTTTTCTTTCTCTAAACACTCAACAACTGCACATAAGCCCTCATATAATGCTACTCAACCTCTCATCAACACCAACCATTAAGAAACCTCTGTTGAGGGACATTTTTTATATATTTATAAAACGGGTGAAAATGGGGTTTCGTGTTTTGTGTGGATCCTTTCTTGTGGTAATGGCATGTTTGGGTGCATTGTCAAGTGTAGAAGGCATAGGGTGCAATTGGGGGTTAAGGGCCACTCACCCTTTACCCCCCAACATAGTGGTGAGGCTTCTAAAGGACAATGGGTTCAAGAAAGTGAAGCTATTTGAGGCAGATGCAGGGGCCCTTAAGGCCCTTGGTAGGTCTGGTATAGAGGTCATGGTGGGGATACCAAACGACATGTTGGCGTCTCTGGCGTCGAGCGTACGGGTGGCTGAAGATTGGGTCACACAAAATGTGTCGTATCACATTTCGAAGAATGCAGTCGATATACGGTAAAACAAACACACATGCACATACACACATATTTATGCACAAATGCCAACACGTATGTCTCATGCTTATGATCACCTACACACATATAGAGAGAGAGAGAGATAGAGAGAGAGATGATCAAACTTTTGATTAGTGTAGTTGCTTAGGTAGAGAATCCAAATTACTATGGTAAATCTTATGTGAAACTTTTGATAGGAAAAGAATTTAACTATAGGATATAGGTTTCTTATTCTAGTGTGGATGCATTGAAAAATATGGTATTTTATCCAAAATGTGGGGTTTCACATGAAATATGGCTAATTATTGGTTTATGTTTTTATTGCTATTTGAGTATTAAAAAAGAACCCAAGCCCGATCATTATGGAAAAGTATACAATGAGACCATCTATCTTAGTTCAATGGGGTCGCAATTATACGTAAAAAGTGGAATAGAAGAGTTATTTACCTTAAAATAAAGACACCATTGGTATAAGAAGGTATGGATCACCCTTTTGACAAGACTTGTTAATGAGTGAACTCGTGCAGCAAAAAGCCAAGCAAGTGGTTTGACGTGCGGCTTTTTAGTTTCTAGGCTGGTTGTCGAGTTTCAAGGCTTCTGCGATATAGAGTGCTTCACAACAACAAAAAGTTCACTACATAGTCATCATATGTGAAATCGGGAGGGTAGGGGTATGTCATTGACCGAGCTCAAATTTTAGATCAGTTTTTTGAACATCTAACTTCCTAATTTTACATCTGACGACTAGGGTGATTGTGATTGTGATTTTTTTGTGCGAAAGGCAAGCGATCGTATAGTATAAAATCCCTTTGGAATAAAAAGCTCTTTGAACATTTGCATAAACTTTTGCCTGGTTCTGATAAACCTACCCCCAAATTACTTCACATTTGCAGGTATGTAGCAGTTGGCAATGAGCCATTTCTAAAGACCTACAATGGTACCTTCACTCAGTCCACCTTATTGGCCCTCCAGAACATCCAAGCTGCTCTGATAAAGGCAGGTCTTGGCCGCCAAGTAAAAGCCACTGTTCCCTTGAATGCCGATGTATATCAGTCATCGAATGGCCTCCCCTCCGGTGGAGATTTTCGATCCGATATCCATAGTCTCATGATATCCATAGTAAAGTTCCTAAACAACAATGGTGCCCCAGTCACCATCAATATCTACCCCTTCCTTAGCCTCTATATGGATCCCAACTTTCCTGTGGATTTTGCCTTCTTCCAAGGAGGTTCCACCTCTCCAGTGGTCGATGGCTCAATCACATACGCTAATGTATTTGATGCTAATCTCGACACCCTCATCGTCACCCTTGAAAAGAATGGCTTCAAGGACATGCCCGTCATCATTGGAGAAATTGGATGGCCAACCGATGGTGATAAGAATGCAAACATAGCCAATGCCATGAAATTTAATCAAGGTCTCATGGATCGTATAGCTAGCGGTCAGGGCACCCCAAGGAAGCCTGGTCCTTTGGATGTCTATCTCTTCAGTTTGATCGATGAGGATGTAAAATCCATATTGCCAGGAAATTTCGAGAGGCACTGGGGAATTTTCTTCTATGATGGAACAGTGAAATACCCATTGAATTTAGGAACTGGAAACAGAGCCTTAGTCCCTGCAAAGGGTGTCAAGTATCTGTCTAAACAATGGTGTGTGCTCTCACCTAGTGCTAGCGAATTAGACACGAATTTGCCCGGAAGTGTACAGTTTGCTTGTGAGCGTGCGGATTGCACGAGCCTTGGTTATGGCTCATCATGTGGTGGCTTAGATGCAAGGGGCAGCGCATCCTACGCATTCAATATGTACTATCAGACATATAATCAACTAAGGGATGCATGTTCCTTCTCGAATTCGTCTGTGATCACACAGGTAGATCCCTCGCAAGATGGTTGCCACTTTGAGATCATGATCGAACTCGGAAAATCCGGCGCTAACCAGATAGCAAGTGGTGGATCTGTGCCAAGTAGTGGATCAGTGCCTCTTTTAGGCCAAGGATTGAGCATGGTGGTAACTCTTGTGATGGTGCTCTTGGTCACCTTGTTATGAATTTTGAGAGCAAATCTCATCTTCCTTCCTCTTTCCCTAACTTGTTTGCTTGGAACCCAAAGCTTAGTTTTAAGAATTTCAAGATTGGAGCATTGTTCAATGCTCATACCCTTCAAGAAGGCATAAAGGCTAAAGCAGGAGAACATTGCTTCTATTTATAGGTTTCCTTAGTGAGGCTCATTTACACTTTTTTTATTGTGATGATGTATCAAAGTACCTTCTGTTCTTTTTCTTCTTTTTTTGGAATGTATAATGTATCAACTGGTTTTAAGGATTTCTTTATGTCTATTCATTTTCAGATACTAATTGAAATTCAATGGGCCCTCTAACCACTATTTTAATTGAAATGACGAAACAATAAGCGCACGGTACAAATCACAAAAAAATAAGGAATACTACTTGTCGAAGCTACTCTAAGGCCCTGATCGGAGGTCTGAAATTCGGTAATAATGCCCTGTTTTTCCCTCCCCCCATTTAGGAGTGAAAAAACGTCCATGGGTAGGTAGGCTCCTATATTCATGGGTCATGGGAGTTTTAGAAAGAAAGAAAGAATAGAAAAGAAAAGCATTGTTTTTCCTTACCTTTGATAGACTTGTTGGAGCATTTAAATGGGGCTGAAGGGCGAGCTTGGATGGACCGAGTCGGTGCATTCTGCTCTAGCATTAGTACCGGATGAAATAAAAAATGTAGTCAGGGTGGTTCGATTTCGAGTCAAAAATCGACATAGACAAACATGCATAGTTCCAATACTAGTGCGCAAAATAACAGCAATAGTGGCGTCCATCCAAACTGGACGTAAGATAGAGAATATGAGTTGACTCTACTGATCTACTAGCCGTTGGATGATATCCTTTAATGTCTAAATTTGGTGGGAACTGCTCATCTCAATAACAATGTAATTAATTGGTTTCGAGGGCCATATCATTGCTCAACAAGATATACAACAGAATTGCAAGGAGAAAACAATAGGAATTAATGAAGAATGACGTCTCGTTGGCCTAATTATATGTTGTAATCAAGGTTATAAAGATAGATGGTCCAGATCGAGAATCATTGAAGTTGATCTAGATCCCTTGAAGGGGTTAGATATCTAACAAAACCGGCAGATTCTATCATTGGCCAAATCTATCAAGCCAAAACCGGTTTGATGAGAAAACTTGGGTAAATGTATTTTTTAATTATTTTTTTTACAAATGCACTTCTTTTTTTTTTTTTTGGTTAAGACGCCGTATTTTTTTTCTCAAAAAGTGTCATCACCTTCACATGAGTTATACGATAAGTGTGCAGACACTCAATAGCTCACACATAATATGTGAGACTTTTTATAGATGTTTTTTATTTATTCAATCTTTGATGTGAGATAAATTAATCTCATTTTTCACCACTACACGAACCAAACTTTAGTGCCAAATTTTTCATATGGAAACTTTGCCCCTCTCTCTCTCTACTAACAACTTTTTTCTCTATAAACGATCAATTCCACTTAAATTCTCTCTCTCATACACACTCTCCCTACTAACAATCTATTATACTAAATTTGTTCTATATAGCTTCTTTAAAAAATCAAAACTCTTAAATTAATACAAAAATAAAAAAATTATATTGCATTAAAGTGATTCATTTTATTATCATGTTGCATTTTAAACTTTATTTTGACGACTGAGAAAATATTAAAAGGAAAAAAAGCTAAAATAAGGTTTATCATATGGGGATTTCGAAAGAATTAAAAAATATTAAATAAGCTTAAAAGAGAAGAAAAAAATTATGCAAGGGGGGTTTTAAGGAGAACAGACGTGGACCGATACCTTTCCAAATCTTGTTTGATTCCCAGTCTGCATTGATGATTGTTAATCTAGACTGTTGGGTTTTAAATACTGCTTGAAATAATGTTGATAATGTTTTTCTAAAAAAAATACAAAATGAAAGAATAAAATAAACTATTATGCCTTTTATTAAGGTTTAAAATTTGGGATTGAATGTGCTTTCAAGGGACAAAACCAAAAACTTTCAAAAACTTTCATGCACAGTAGGTGCAATTTCCAGTTATATAATTGGAAGGGACACATCATATGGTTGATGGGTGTCCCCTTTTCAGTCTATCTTAAAGATGAATTTTAGATCTAAACTTTTATAGATTTTCAGTATGGGTCATGATGATCTTGATATTTTTAGTATGGGTCATGATGATCTTGATATATGTATACGGATTTATGCCACCTGTAGGGGACCCATCCCCACTCAATCATCCAACACAATATTAACAATGGTACTAATAATAATAACGAAACAATGGTATTAATAATAATAATGATATGGTTTTTATGAGTTCATGTAGAAATGAGTCCGACTTTTAAAAATCTATTTTTGAGATGGATTTTCGGACCCAATTTTTAAAGACATATAATCTCTAATATGGATTTATGAATATAAAAAATTAATAAATTTTAAAAAATAAAAATAATAATTTTATGAAGAAAATATTTAGACGGTCAGTTTCAAATGTTTTTATGTGGACCACCTATTCGCATCCATCTTTAAGATAGATGTTGTATACCTTGGAACCGCATGTCGCAAAACTGCTGTCCAACCCGTATGAAATAATTTTCCTAATAATAATAAATTAATTATCCTCAAATATTAAGTAAAATTTACATAAATATTTATATTTTTGAAATTTAAAAAAGAGTGTCTCTAATAGTTTATATTTAGGAAACAATTTATATAAGGATGCAACCTTATAATGTAGAACTATGGATGCATATTAAAAATCCATCAGAAAAGATAGTTTTCATGTTGAAAAACCCTTTGATTGATCATCTCAACATCGAGATATATGAAAAATAAAAAGATTTTAAGTCTAAAAAATAATGCATTTTAGAACATATTATCTACACCGTCTATTTTCAAGATTTTCATATGCTTATGGATCTACTTGATTTTAACCATTTTTTAAATTTAAAATTTTATAATTAGATATAAAAATAGATTTTGAGATAATCCTGAGAATAATTTACATCAAATTTATATATCATGATAAAATTTGAAGGAGCACCTTCCCTCTACAGCTAAGGATGCATCTTCATGCCAACTGCACCCTTCTATTTATGTCATGTCTCAATTCTTAAGAGGACATTTAGTTTGTTAATTTTATATTTTTTTCTTATATATCATGTTGAACACAAAATTTGTGACATACTTCACCATCATGCATATATAAAAAAATATAAAACTTTAATAAAATAAAATAAAATAATAAAAAATATATATACAAATTGGTCATATTAGACATTTTTTATTTAAAATTATTATCTTTATATTTTTTTCAGGTAGAATATGGTGAGAACTGAGAAGTACAGACACTCAAAATCTAGGCTTGATCCAATTCATAAAAAATTAAAACTACCACGGATACTCTGAAAAGGTCGAATATGAACGTAAAACATGTGAGGATTATTTTGATTAAATTTTATTATCTTTTTTTATATTTTAAAAATATTTTTAAACAGCAAATTTGATTGGGTGGTAGAGAATATGCCATCCTTTCTCCATTACGAGGGCATGAAAGAAGGGGACAAAACGCCTTCCTCATATACATTTTCCAACTCTATTCATCTTCTTCACGGTCTTGCAATAATAGTAATTTATTATTTTCTTTACAACCAATTTTTAAATGAGTATATATAAAAAAAATGAAGTTAAAAAGCTGCAGAGTTCGAAGGGTGAGAGTGGAGGCTAACTTCATCGCCTTCTTATCTCTTTCTGAGCTCTAGCAGAGCAAAGCTTCTGAATTTTCTGGTTCAATTAAAGGTGGGTTTTGTAATTCTCACTCCGGAGTAATACTACGTAATTTTCTTCTGAATTTAATTTCGAATTTCTGTTTATAAAGCCTTTGTTTTTGTTTTTTCTTTTTTTGAAATCTTTGTTTTTGTTTCTTTTCCCCCTTGTTTCTTTGGTAAATTTTGATGATTTGCAACACAAGAAGAGATTTTTTATGTTTACTGAAATGGGTTGGTTAATAAGTATTAGCCGTTATTGAAATTCGACTCATTGGGTGAAGTGAATAATTGGTTGATAGCTTCTTCTTCTTCTTTTTTATTCTTTTTCTGTTTCAGTTTTTGAATTGGTTTTTCTTATTTTTGGCTTATATGGGTCTGCAATTTTTCGTCCTTTTTTTTTGGGTGTTTTGAATGCTAGGAGTGTGTATGCATGCACATAACCAGGAAATTTCGTAATTATTTTCTTTTCTGGGGTTTAAGCTAGACATAACCTCTGCTAATTTGTGTTTCAATTTTCACTGCTTCAAAAGAAAATTCTCTCTCTCTCTCTCTCTCTCTCTCTCTCTCTCTCTCCTGCGTGCGCCGAATTGAGTTCATAATATTCAAATTATTATGCAGGAATTGGTGCTTCTTTAGCTTGTTGTATCTGGGCATGTTTGCTTTTTTGTTTCTGTTTTATTCTTCTTTTGTGGACATTGGACATTATTTGGAAAGTATATCGCAAAGGATGGTTTAGCTAGAGCTATTTGCTGTTTCTCTTTCTAGTTTTTTAAATAAAATTTTCAGTGTGGAGGTCGTGACCACCGGATTTTTTACTTGTTTTGCTCTCTTATGATGTTGCAGATGTTCCCTATGAAAAGGTTACAAAATGATTTGGCATGCACTTTCTAATCTTTTTTATTATTAATAAAATTTTCTGGCAGAGGCCCTAATCCCTTCTGATTTACCCAAGAAATATATATATTTTCAGTTAGTTATCTTTTTCCTGGTGACGGTACTTGAAAATGCATATAACTATAGGAATTTTGACCAAAATGTTACTCGCGTGCAGGCATGTGTGTGTTGCATTTCTCCAACTGAGCTAGTCAGCCCTTTCTTTTTGCTCAATGGTTAACCCGAATATCTCTTTGTTATAGGGGGGCTTGTTTGTGCTTCTTTTGATGAGGAGCAGGAGCAATTCTTGTAATAAACCCTTGACGGCTTCACTCATGAGAGGTTTTTCAAAATGAGAACTTTTCTCTAGGCTGATCACTCCTGAAGATAGCTCAATATGGCATTAAATTCATACACCATGCAGCATAAGTCTTTGAGCATAGAATCTAGACGCAACCATCTTTTGGCGTTCAAATGTAGCGAACAGATGGGCCATTGCTTGAGACGCTCAGCCTCATTCTCCACAAGAAGTCCAAGAAGGCAAAAACATTTCCCCTTGAAGGTGTTGTATGCTAGACTAGTTTATGATTGCTTACAGTTTTTAATATTTATTGTGGTGTTGTTATTTGTTGAATGTGGATGAGATACCCTTCATAGGATTCACTCCAAATTGTATTTAGAGTCTAACCTTTTATCCCATTGATCTCATCTATAACATACAAATTCTTGAAGTGGGTACTCTATCAGTTTGTTTATGCTCAGATAATATCTCTTAAGTTATAAAAAATGGATTCTATGAGTGCATATAAAGCTAGATATTCTATAAAAAGAATGTTTAGCAATGAAATTTATTTTAGAAATATTTTCGATCAATGAACAACAAAGAAATTGACTTTCGGGAATTTTCTTTCAGGTTGTTTGTATTGATTATCCAAGACCTGATATTGAGAATACTGTTAATTTCTTAGAAGCGGCATACTTATCCTCAACATTTCGTGCTACTCCACGCCCGAGTAAACCATTGCAGGTTGTTATAGCAGGAGCTGGTAAGTTAAAAGACATCATCCTGGTCACCTGGAAGCCAATGGGTGTCTTTTTTGCAAAAATTTATATTGGCAACATTACTTGTTAATATTACTTTCTGATATTCGATACTAAGATTTATACTCTCATTTGCAATCAGGATAATATACTATAATCTAATGGTGCCTGGAAAACCATAGCTTGTTGGTCTCATCACCATCAAATAATATGATGGAAGAATACTTTCCCAATAATTTTTCTACCTCAAGCAGTTCAATGAATATATAGGGATAATTTCAGAAATAAGAACTTCACTGATATTTTCATCAGTGTAAAGAGTTGGAATCCATGGGACTCTACCACACCATTGACCTTGAATTTCTTTCTCTTGGATCTTTTTGAGACTTACAGGATTCAAAGTTCGAGATAATTGTAACAAAATGGAAGCATGACATACACTACTCATGTGCGGTTTACTATAGTGTTACCACTACATGTATCCCCATTTTTGTCCATACCTCGTGGTCAAGTCACCAGACTTCCAGCATAATCCCTCTGTGGACCCATACCATCTCTACTGCCAACAATGTAGTATTTCTTCCTAGGAAGCTTTTCAAGATCTTTTCTTAAAATGCACCCTCGGAGCCTTTTGATATTATTATGGGGGATTCTTATGTAGTTTATTTGTGTTTTTGCTTTAAATAATATGTTGCAACTTAATATATTGACACAAATTTTGCCAAGTGAGATTGTCTAAGCCTTCTGAATATTCAGATGTCTATGAAATTTTGGAATGCTACTATTTGTAGGTCACCTAGATTTAGCTTCTACTAAATCTAGTGGTAATAAAGGTGGCCATGGGCTGGGTAGCCCAGCCTGGGCCACAAAATGAGGCCTGATGCCGGGCCACCAGCGCCCAAGGGTCTGGCTGGCCCTGGCTAGGTCTAGGGCAGGCCCGGTTTGGCTAGGCCCAACCCTCATTTTTATTTACTTATATTTTTTTAAAAAAATTTCTACCCCGACTAGGCCCGGCTCAACCTTGATAGGGCTAGGGCCGTACAATGCCCAGGGCCCGCCCGGCCCAGCCTTGGCCCGTTGCTAGTACTAGGTGATAAGAAGAAAAACTATGAGATTTAAGAGCTACATTCATCGAACTAGAGGGATAATCATAAGGCAATGAATGCTACATTGTCGCACTTATTCTCAAAGTCAAGAGGGCAGAAGAGCTTAAAGATTTCAGGACAATCAGTTTGATCAATTCCTCTTATAAGATCCTCTCTAAGGTCCTTGCCTCTAGGCTGAGATAGGTCCTCAAACGGGTCATTTCCCCGATCCAAGGGGCATTTGTCAAGGACTGCTAGATCCTTGATGGAGTGTTAGTGGCTCACGAGTGCTTTCACTCTAGACACGTTGCCAATTGGGAGAAAGCCTACAACCATGTCAAATGGGCTATCCTCGACAAGACCCTTCGAAGGATTTTGGGCACCGCTAGGAAGCTTCGATCCGCGGATGCATGTCCAATACTTTCTTCTCTATACTCATCAATGGTTTCCCAAAAGGAATCTCCCCCTCTTTTAGAGGTCTTAAGCAGGGTGACCTCATCTAGCCGTTCCTATTTGCAATAATTGCCGAGGTCTTTAGCAAATCCATCTCTAAGACGCACCAAAACGGTCTCCTTAAAGGCTTCAAAATTGGGAACCATGGCCCTGAAATCTCGCACCTCTAATACGCTGATGACACCCTCCTCTTCTATGATGCTATCGCCCAACATTTTGACCCCCTGCTCCTATTCCTCCAATGTTTGGAAATGTCCTCTGGTTTCAGAGTGAATATGGCAAAAACCTGCCATCGTCCTAGTTGGGCTTGCCCTTTTGCATTGGTAAGCCTAAAGAGAGGCAATGGAGCCACATAATCGACAAGTTTGAAAGGAGGCTCGTGGGATGGAAGGTGATGTTCCTCTTGTCCGTGGGTCGAATAATCCTCATCAAGGCAACCCTCACCAAATCCCCATTTTCCAGATGTCGCTCTTCCACATGCCTTCCTTGATAGCTGCTTGCCTTGAACAACTTGTGAGAAATTTTCTGTGGTTGGGAGAGGGAGGGAGAAAATACCACTTAACCTCTTAGGCCAAAGTCTGTTTGCCTAAGTCCCAAGGGGGATTCGGTATCCGCAACCTTAAATCTTACAACCTGGCCCTCCTCGACAAACGGTGATGGTGCTTTGCCACCCAATAGAACCACCTATGGCAAGAGGTCCTTAGAAACAGGTACCGCTGTGAGGAATCAACGTGGCTTCCTAGTGGTAGGTCCAACAACAACTCTTCCAAACTGTAGAGTTCTCTACTCCGCAGCTATAACCCTTTCAAAGCCAAGATACGCTTCTAGCCTCGGGCTGGAAACATAGTCCTTTTCTGGTCTAAACTTTGGATAGGTCATTCTCTGCCGAGAAATCAGTTCCATAATTTGTTCCTTCTTGCTATGTTTTAAAAAACGGTCTGCCCGGTGCCTAGGCACCCAAGGCACCACTGGCCGCATGCCTAGACCTGGGCGCCCCATTTTGGGTGGCTGTACTTGGGCGAGCGCCCAGGGACATGTGCCTTTTTTCGATTTTTAAAGATGCCCAAAAGGGAAAAGGAGGTAATTTTGACCCCCAAAAAGGCTTAAATAGGTTATGGGGATTATTTTCAACCCCCAAAGTAAAAAAAAACACTTCCATAAGCCATCAATCTCTTAGCTACACCTATTTCTGAGAATCAAAAGTATTTTTTGAGGTTTGAAGAAGCTTCCTAAATTTTTCTTTTCTCATTGGAATTGTTTTCTCATATGGAGGGTTGGAGACTATTACTAATGTATAGCCTATTAAACTTTTAATGTTGATATACTTATTCCATGATAATTCAATGTTTATCCTTTTGTGTGATGTAAATTAAATGCTGAATAGTAGTTCATGCAGG